CAGTGACACCGAGTGCCCAAAAACTGCCCCAACCCCACACTGCCCCCCCGTTCCACCCCTGCCCCGCCCCCACCCACCCGCAGGGCCACCCACCACCTCCACCGCAGTTCGCCCAGGCGGCCCAGCAATGTCATGGCGGCCACGCCCTCCACCTGTGCCCCGCAGCATCATCTGTTTGCGACAGGGCGCAAGGGCGGAGTCTTGTCCCCATTGCCCGGCTGCCATGTCCTTGGCTGCGCTGCTCCAGGCGGGCCATGCCTGGGGGCGACTCTCCTCCGGGGGGCTGCTGGTGTGGAGGGGGCCGTGGGGGGAGGCGGGGCTGGGGCGACGGCATGTGTGCCCACAGAGAGGGCTCCGAGTGCCGCCTCTGCCATAGGTTCACCACCACTGCCCTAGCCAGTTGCTGAAAAAAACTGGTTTGGAGTGATATTCTAACTGTCCTAAGAACTCTCATCAAGAATGACATTCAAGGCAAAGATTAATTACTGTATGATTTAGGCTGACAATTCAGAGAGCAAAAATTAGGTCTTGTTTAGAGGAACACGCTGAACTACACATTGTAAAAACGGTAAAGTCAGAGCCGAGACGTTACAGAAATGTGGCGAGACGAAAAGGAGGGCAAAAAATACAGGACTGGGATTCACAAGGCTAAATCACTGGCTCGTTTTAATTCACCTCTTTCTCTCAGCTGAGGGCACCCCAAACTCTCAGGCAAAGATCTTTCTAATTCCTACCACCCTCACAACACAGAGATGCCCTGAGTAAGCTGAAACCAAGAGAACAGCTGGGAACTTGTGATTACGAAAACAAGGGTGCAGAGAGAGGGGTTATGACTGTAGAGAGCAAGCAAGTTGAAGCAGAAAATGCTTTTCAATTCCCCTCCAAGGGAAATTCAGAAATTAGTCAACTATGCCAACTTTGGTTTCAGTTCCGGCCAATCTTCTCCAGCCTGGCAGTTTCCGCTATATTGGTTTCAAGTTCCAATTATCAGCCAGAATAGCTGTAGTCAATTTGGGATGACAGGAGCTAGATCCGAAAAGTGTCAGTTCAAGTAACCAGGGGAAAAAGGTTGGCCTGAGTCATTCTGATTTCTATAACACCTGGGAACACTATTAGATTGGCAGGAAACTCTGTCCTGTGAACAGAAAAAAAAGCTTTGTTTGAGGAGTTCAACTGGTCTTGTTTCTCAACCTTGGAGACTTGGATATGTGGACTTCAATTCCCAGAATTCCCCAGCCAGCATGGCTGTCTGGAATATTCTGGGAGTTGAAGTCCACCTCTCTGAAAGACACCAAGATTGAGAAACACTGATTTAAGGCAATGGGAATCCCACTGCAAGAATTACAGGAAGACTTTCCAATTTAGGCTGGGTTAATAAATCACTGGGAGCCTAAAACACCCAGAAATCTCAGCCTCTACACCAGGGGTAGGCCACCTTGGCTCTTTTATGACTCGTGGACTTCAACTCCCAGAATTCCTGAGCCAGCATGGCTCAGTTTGGAAACCTCTCCCTTTCCCCTCAGCACGGCTGGCTCAGGAATTCTGGGAGTTGAAGTCCACCAGTCATAAAAGAGCCAAGGTTGACTACTTCTGCTCTACACAGATAGAAAGTGCCAGGTTGGGGGAAGTTTGGGAGAAACTGAAAGCTATCCACATTTGCTTTTTGACAGCATTGACTTGACGCCTTTTGAAAACAGTACAGATAGTCCTCGACTTATAACAGTTCATTTAGTGATAATTAGAAGTTACAGTGAAAAAAGTGACTTATGACTGTTTTTCAAACTTACGACCATTGCAGTACCCCATGGTCAGGGGTCTGCAACCTTAAACACTCAAAGAGCCACTTGGACCCATTTCCCAGAGAAAAGAAAACACTGGGAGCTGCAAAACAAGGGGAAGAGCTTGACTGAAGAGTTTAATTAAAAAGAAATAGAGGCTGCTGTGCATGAGTTTTCTCTCTCTCTCTCTCTCTTTCCTCTCCCTCTCTCTTTCTTTCCTCTCTCTTTCCTCTCTCCCTCTCTCCCTCTCTCTTTCCTCTCCCTCCCCCTTTCTCTCCTCTCCCTCTCTCCCTCCTTTTCTCTTTCCTCTCCCCCCTCTCTCTTTCCCCCCTCTTTCTCTCTCCCTCTTTCCCTCTCTCTTTTTCTCTCTTTCCTCTCTCTCTCCCTCTCTCTTTCTCTCTCCCTCTCTTTCCTCTCTCTCTCTCTCTCTCCCCTCTCTCAGATCTTCTGCTCACCTGGCAAGCTGGCTTCAAACTGTTCTCCAACAAGTTGACACATTCTTTTTGGGCTGGTTCTCTCCTGCCCTTCCTGCTTCCTGCAGAGACACAGCCAAGGCAGGAGCCCCGCCCAATAAGCTTATCAGCTCGTTGGAGAACAGTGTGAGGCCACTCTCTTTTTTACAGAGAGAGAGAGAGAGAGAGAGAGAGGGGGGGGGGGAAGCGCAAGTGCCTCTCTCTGTCTCTGTCTCTTTCTCTCTGCAAATGGCAGAAGAGGCTGGGAGCCGCAGAAGAAGGCTCAAAGAGCCGCATGCGGCTCCGGAGCCGTGGGTTGCCGACCCGTGCCCATGGCCATGTGATCAAAATTGAGACACCTGGCAACTGACTCATATTTATGATGGCTGCAGTGCCCCGGGGGTCATGTGATCCCCTTTTGCAAACTTTTGACAAGCAAAGTGAATGGGGAAGTCAGATTCATTTAACAACCATGTTACTATCTTAACAGCTCCAGTGATTCACTTAACAAATGTGGCAGGAAAAATGATAACATGGGCAAAATTCACTTATAACAACTGTCTTGCTTAGCACCAGAAATTTTGGGCTCAATTATGGTCGTAAGCCAAGGACTACCTGTAATGCTTACTTCAGTCCAGGCAGATTCTCTATTCGTTAGCAACAACACATTACTGTTCCTTACCTGCCCAGGTTGATGACCCCCCGTGGGATTCCTGTTGGTGTGTCAAAAGCCGGGAGAAGTTTCTCTCCAAGTTCTAGAGCTTTGCTCTTGAAGACCTGTTGGAAGAAAGAGAGGAAGGAGTCAGGAAGCAGTTAATAAATGGGTGCTGGATTTCTAAACGTAAATCTCCATATGTTCAGCCACTTGGAGGTACTTCCTGGGACACCAGGAGCCCTGGTGGTGCAGTGGTTAGACTGCAGTATTGCAGCAAACTCTGCCCACAGCCTGAAGTTCTATCTTGATGGGGCTCTGCCTTCCATCCTTCGGAGGTCGGTAAAATGAGGACCCAGATAGTTGGGGGCAATATGCTGACTTTGTAAACTGCTTAGAGCAGAGGTCTTCAAAACTCGGCCCTTTTATGACTCATGGACTTCAACTCCCAGAATTCCTCAGCCAGGCACACTGGCTGAGGAATTCTGGGAGTTGAAGACCATGAGTCATAAAAAGGCCGAGTTTGAAGACCCCTGGCCTATTGGGCTGTATATAACTCTAAATCAATGGTTCTCAACCTTTTTAATGCCGCGACCCCCAACCGGTCGTAAGTCGAGGACTAAACCGGTCGTAAGTCGAGGACTACCCAACCGGTTGTAAGTCGAGGACTTTCCCTGCCCGGGAGCGCCGCGCATGCGTGGTTCCGCCCCCTGCGCTGGCCGAGGCATAGCTGGCAAGCAGCAGAGACGGAGCAGGCCGACCACCAGCTGGCCCAGCTCAAGGGAGGTAAGGCACCCGCCAGAAAAGGGAAAAAAATGGCGGACAGCCTTGCTTGGGGACCCCCGTGAAATGGTCAATCGACCCCAAATGGGGTCACGACCCATAGGTTGAGAACCGCTGCTCTAAATGCTATTGCTAAGTACTAGTACTATTGCTATTTCAAGAGAAATAGGTTTAGAGAACCATCCTCGTAGACTACTGTTCTTCTGCCCAGACTGAACAGGCAATATTTGGATGCAATGGCTGGAAGCATCTTTTCTCAGTGTGAATGTACTTTAGCTCCTGTTGACAACTAGAGCGCAGGTGGCCAAAATAAGTAAATAAATGAAATAAAATCATGAAAATAGAGGAGACAGAAAAATAGATGAGAAACCAGAGTTCCACTGTGGAAACCACACATAACTTATTTCTTTGCCATTACTCTAAGCTTGAGGCATAGTAATGGCTTTGGATGGTGGCTTCTGGATCCTCCCATCATGGAGTAGGGCAGTGATGGCGAACCTTTTAGAGACCAAGGGCCCAAACTGCAACCCAAAACCCACTTATGTATCATCAGGTGCTGGGTGGCGTGGCCCATTGGGTGAGTGTGGCCCATTGGGTGGGCATGGCTGCGGTGGTAACGGCAGGCTGGGTGGGACTAAAAAGTTCAATCAATCAATTCCAACTTTGCGAGATCTTTTTTTCCCCGCGAGAAGTTGAAACTGATTGATTGATTGAACCTTTTTTTTTTTGCACACGGCAGAGGCCTAAAGCAAAAAGGTTTTATAAAACCCAGGTGAAGGCCTAGGACTGGGGTGATGGCACATGTGCCCACAGAGAGGGCTCTGCGTGCCACCTGTGGCATGCGTGCCATAGGTTCGCCACCACAGGAGTAGGGTGTGCAAGTGAGTTTGATCTTTAATAGGCATTGGAAACTTTGATGTCTGGTCTAAATGATCTTTAAAATCTTGGTTTTATCAGTTAGTCCCTGTTCCATCACAACAGTGTTGTTTCAATTAACGAGATTCTATCTATTTTACAATTTTATTATTTCAACATTATTTCCCCTTACAAACTGAAACTAAAGGTGTGATAAGTAAGGAAATTAATCTTCTTTCATTTTGTTTTTCAAGGACTGGTATTCAGTAGACGCCTATTGTGAACTATTCAAGCAATTGTATGAACCAATTCAGCAATTACACAAACACCCATATTAAAGATAAAAACCTGGACTGAAAATGAATTCAGATAAGAAAAATCCAGCCTTTTGAACTTAAGGGAAAAAATAGAAAGTCAAGATGCAGTGCATATATTGCACATGGAAAATGTTGGATTCAATCCTTGGAGCTTCCAGTGAAAAGGATGGTTTGGGTTTTCTGTGCAATCCTAAGGGATCCTAAGGGATCTGCAAGAACTTGATGTGGTACCAGTAGAAATTAAGGGGAAAACAATAAACGTCACTCAAACACAGGCCAGGGGTATCCATAGCAAATTCTCTATTTGCAGATCCGGATTAAAAAACAGATTCCACAGCTTGCAAAAGTTTGAAACCCTCTGATTTAGTAGGTAATGAGAAAGACTCTCTGCTTGAATGCCTTGGAAAGCCCACTCAGGTGCCAGTGCAGAGGAGGAGACAGTATGAAATCAATGAGAAGTAGGACAGTATTTCTCAACCTTGTCAGCTTGAAGATGTGTGGACTTCAACTTCCAGAATTCCCTATTCAGCATGGGAGTTGAAATCCACACACCTTAAAGACGTCTAGCTTGGAAAACATTGGGTTAGATCAGGGGTAGGCAACCTTGGCTCTTTTATGACTCGTGGACTTCAACTCCCAGAATTCCTGAGCCAGCCATGCTGAGGGGAAAGAGAGAGGTTTCCAAGCTGAGCCATGCTAGCTCAGGAATTCTGGGAGTTGAAGTCCACGAGTCATAAAAGAGCCAAGGTTGCCTATCCCTGGGTTAGATGATCCTTGACATTCTTTCTGATTCTACAATTTTATGATTCTATATCTGGCAGACAATGTATTAGGGAAGGTTGTGTAGGAGGAGGAGGGACACCAATGGGTATGAACCCCAACAGTGATACCTCTTTCTGAATGCATTGAGCTCTCAAAAAAAATTCTTCTCCATCTCTAAGCTCCACTAAAAGGCATCCAAATCAATGATTTTTGACACCATCATGAATTCAGACATTGGCCAGGACTGAAAACAGTTCTGAGTGGGGACAGAGAAGTAAATATCTCCATTAGCTTTTCACACACCCCTTCTTCCTCTCAGTCTGGTGGCCACCATGACTTATGACCATAATTCAGGGCTCAAATATGGTCATAGGTCAAGGACAACAACAACAACAACAACAACAATAATAAAGTTGGAAGGGACCTTGGAGGTCATCGAGTCCAACCCTCGGACAAATGGCTGTCCAGTCTCTTCTTAAAAACTTCCAGTGTTGGAGCATTCAACGCTTCTGGAGGCGAATTGTTCCACTGGTTAATTGTTCTCACTGTCAGGAAGTTTCTCCTTAGTTCTAGGTTGCTTCTCTCCTTTGACTACGTGTAAAGCTTTTGAGCAATTTCCTGTTCTAGTCAGTTTCTCAGTCTTTTTTTAAAATTTGCAAACAGGGACATCTTCTGCCTATTCCCCATTTACTCCAATCACCCCAGGCACTGAACTTGCTGAAAAAGGAGAAAAGCTGCATCGTTCTGCAGATATATTAATCAAGAGTTTACTTGTTATAAAGGGAAGAGCATTAAGTGATTTACAGAGACATCTTGCAGGATCCAAAGCTTTTGTCTAAATGAGGAAAGCAGCATTGCCAAGCCCACAGTGGCAAAGCTAACTTGAAAGAATTAAGTGGGGGGGGGGGGAGAAACAGTTTTGGGGGGGAAAAAAAGCTCCACAACTTGCTGCGCTCTGCTGTTCCTTTCAAAAGACAAAAAGCTGACCATATAACACTTTTGCACCGCAAGGGTCTTACAATCTGTCATTGGAACCATGCAGCTCTCTTGTTCTATATGCAAAGCCACAGCAGGCGGCCAAACTACTGCTTTGCTCCAGTTTCTGTCCTGGAAATCTTTGTGCAACCTTTCTATGCCATCAAAAATATATAGTGCAATCAGTCTCAGCGTGTACCACGGAACAATGGAAAAATAAGCAGGAACTGTACTGCTGCGGTATTACATCATGCTGCAAAGTTCATTTTGGTACAAGTCATTGGCCCAGGAAGCAAGGTCACCTTTGAGACCATTTATTCCAAGGAAAGAATGTTCTTTGAAGGATGTGCCAGGATGTTTTTTTTTTCCCTTCAGAACCCCATATACTAGGGTGACATAGCCTGGTTTCAAGGCATTTCCTGAAGGCTAAAAGAGAAGGGGCGGATCTTACCTCTGAAGGCAAGATATTCCAAAAGGTGGGAGCCACGGCAGAAAGCCGTGGCCATCTCCTGGATCCCACTGGCCAAAATTCCTTGGCTGATGGGATCCACAGTAGGTACCTTTTGTCAGCACAAGTGGGATGGGCCAATCCTATAGGGCAGTGATGATGAACCTTTTAGAGACCGAGTGCCCAAATTGCAACCCAAAACCCACTTATTTATCACCGGGTGCCAGTGGGCATGGCCCACTGGGTGGGCATGGCTGTGGTGGTCTTGGCAGACTGAGTGGGTGTGGCCAAGGTGGGCTCGTCCTGCGAGGCGAGGCGAGGCAGGGCAGGGGTGACATTTCTGCGGGGCAAGGTGAGGCAGGGGCTGGGGTGGCTCCTACCTGACAACATCGGCCCCCGCACACAAGAGGCCAGCGAATGCATAGGGGCTGATGGCATCCGTCAGCAGCCACAGCCTGCCGGCCCCTCAACCGGTGCACTCTGGGGCTCCGCAGCCGCTGCCAGCAGTTCAGAGAAGCCGCCTCTGAGCTGGACGGACGGCCGACAGCTGAGGAGGTGATGCAGTGGGTTGTGCCCAGGAAAAGGAGAGCATGCGAGGCCACGAGGGACGGGACGGGGGGAAAGAAACCAGCTGTGCCGGGATGCATCCGGCCACGTGGGACCTCAGTGAGTTAGTGGGCGGCTGGTTGAAGAGGTACGGTTGCCATCTCTGGGGCATGGCGTGCGTGCCTACGGCTCTGAGTGCCTCTGGCATCCGTGCCATAGGTTCGCCACCACTACTATAGGGGGAAGATGGTTCTGCAGATATCCTGGACCCTTGCCATAAAGGTCTTTAAAGGTGATAATCAGATCTTGAACTGCACACAGAAGTAGATCAGCAGCCAAAGTATAGTATAAAAGCATAACAACCCCTTTTAAAGACTAATGCCTACCCTAAATTTCATAAAAGCTCTCACTAAAGGGATTCCTGCTGCGTAGCTATGTTTTATGGAAACACTTGCCTAGGTAGTCCAGTTCCAAGAATTAATGCCAGAAGGTTAGGGCAATTAACGCCTTCACTGATGCATTCTCCCTTGCTGACATAACGAAGAATGCCTTGGAACGAGTCCGTGAAATTTAGGCGCTCATCACACGTGACTTTAATGCCAAGGAAGATTTTGGGGGTTTGATGGTAGAGTTAAAAGTGGTTGTCCCTTAAAAAAAAAAAAAAAACAGTTCACAGCAGTGTTTAATGTGACCCTTGTGAGGTCCTCCTCTCTAGCATCAAGTCATTAATAAATTCAGAACACAAAACCGTGGCCAGCGGCATTTCTGCAGAGACCAATGTACCAAACCAGTGAACTGTCCCAGAGAAATTATCCACAGGAGGAAAATCCTACTGGATGAGTCAGGCCAAGTAATTATGCCCAACTTAATTAACAGCTGTCATCAATGCTCTGATATTTATCAAGAGGCGCCATTTTTAGCTGCTTTAGGCAAGGAAACAGGTAAGAGTTTTCTGAGATTCTCCGTGCAGAAATCTATTTTGCAAATCAGACGTGCAATTGGGTCAGTACCAACCTCTTCGCCCGTCAGGTAATATGCGGACAGAAGTCCTCCAACGTAGCGGATGTTCACCTCGAATAAAGAAGCTTCCCCGTTCTGCTGGAAGAAAAATAGGAAGGTCTCAGATTGTTCATTGGCAGATATGCGAATGCTAAGATAAGAAAGTGCAACAGAAGCAGCGGGTATAAAAACGCATTTTTAGTACTCGTTATTGCACAATCCTTAGCAGAGACACTTGCAAGGCATGGGTGGAAATAACCCTGTAACTTTAAGAGCAGTGGACTTCAACTCCCAGAATTCCTCAGCCAGCCAGCCTGCTCCCTTCCCCAGTCTGCCACCTCCTTCTCCAGAAGGAAAAATATAATTTGTATTGTAACCCCCAAAATGAACATTTTCCTCTACCTATATCAGGGGTCTTCAAACTTGGCCCTTTTATGATTGTGGACTTCAACTCCCAGAATTCCTCAGCCAGCGTGCCTGGCTGAGGAATTCTGGGAGTTGAAGTCCACAAGTCATAAAAGGGCCAAGTTTGAAGACCCCTGACTTATATAGTCAGCTTCTGCATGCTTTGGGGACAACATCTGGAATGTCTTTGGCACTGCTGGCTGGTGTTCTCCAGTATTTCAATTAAAAAAAAAAACCTCTTCCCATATCTTATCCCTTATCAAGAGTCAAATTACATAAAATGCATCATTCGATCCTGAGCAGCAAAAGTTTATTAAGACCTACCAGAAATAGTAACACAGACGCTCATCTTTTCTAACAGTGATATAAGAGAGTAAGAGCAACGATTTGTTGCCCTCACATTCTTTTCTCTGTGGTTTTAGCATGTTGAGGAATTCACAAATCCATTCATGTAAAGGAGGGGAAAAGACATAATAATTAGACCCCAGAGCGGTTCACATGAGTGTGGATGGAAAGGAGATGATAATGGGAACAAGCTTGTGCAGCCCCCTCCCTTCCTTTTTTTTTTTATATAACACTGATGCAATGGACTGAATTTTCCAACTAGCCCTTTACTCATAAAAATCTTGGAGCAGCGAAATGTCAAAGCAATTGCGGTCAAACCATCCCTTTCAAAAAATCTCCTCCTGCCAATTCAGGTTTGTCCTCTGAATAAGTACCAGCTTTTTACCAAAGGTGTGGATGCACAAACATCCTCCTCACCCCCCAGGCAGAAGAGGTATTTCTAGGCTACGTAAAAGGGCCCATTAAGAAAAGCTAGCAGGAAAGTGGGGCTTGCATTCTTTCTGATCCTGTTCACAACCAGCGTGTGACGTTTATATGCCATGCAACTCACATTGGGTCATTCTGGGAAGATACGCAGCCTGCATTTATACTCAACTAATGAATGGATGCTGAGCCTGAGCACATTCTGAATCTAGGACACCCCCCCCCCCATTTAATCCAGTGTCTTCAGGTTCACATCACCTGAAATTCGATATTCACTTTTGAAAACATTAACTTGCTGTGCACTGGTGATGTTACCTCATTTAGTAATGAAGCGTCTACAAGAAAACAACCAGAGAGCATCATACATGGTATTTTTTTTTTAAAAAAAATCCTAATTTAACATTTTTTAATATCTTAAATCACTGTTTCTTAACCTTGGCAGCTTTCAGATGTGAAGACTTCATTCCCAGCATTCTCTGCTCAGCTTGCTGGGCAGTAAGGTGACCAACCGTCCTCCTTTAGGGAGGACAGTCCTCCTTTTGTGAGTTCTGTCCTCCCTCGAAAAGTGTCCTCCTACATGTCCTCCTTTTCGATATTTGAAGACTAATCTGCAGGGCTTTTTTTTTTCTCATAGAACGCTCAGAACGGCGTTCCGGCACCTTTTTTTGATGGTTTTATTTTTTTTCAACTTTTGCATGAGCTGTGCTACTCCCGCTATTGGCTTTCGAAAGCCAATAGGAATTGCTGCTGAACGCGCCAAAACAACCGGCTGGCAAACTTTGCACATGTAAGTTGTCTGCAGCGAAGGTGAATTGGCAGGAACTTTGCACCCCTCCCTGCTACCCAACTACACCATCTCCTAGTTAGTCCCGAAGATACCTGGAGGAGACTGGAGTGGCAACGCCATAGTAACTTTCTCTTGATCTTCGGCCCTGCTAGGGCAATAATGGCTGTGGGCGCAAGAGGCAGGGGCAACGGGGTTGGTGTGGGCGGGGGTGTGAGGGGCGGCAGTGGCCGGCTGCCCCCCGTGCTGTGGGAGCCGCGGGGCCTGCTCTACACGGGGTTGTACAGGGTGGACAGTGGTGCAGGCGGGGTGTGTTGACGGCGGGCTGCCCCCCGGGGCCGGAGCTGGCACAGCTGGTGCTTTGGGAGCCGTGGGACCTGCTCTGCACAGTGGGGCAGCAGTGCTGGCGGGACGGCTGCGGGCAGGGGTGCGGCATGTAAGCATAATTACAATATAAAACGTTATTGTTACAAATGTTTTTTATTATGCATTTATCATATTATAGTGTATTCTGTATTATTGTTGCAATGAATAAAATGTTTCTTTTATTTACGATATTTTTTTCTTCAATTTATTTGTGTCCTCCTTTTCATTGTAAAAAAGTTGGTCACCTTATGGGCAGTAAATTCTTTTCATTGTAAAAAAGTTGGTCACCTTATGGGCAGTAAATTCTGGGAGTTAAAATCCACCCATCTTCAAACTTCCAAGGTTTAGAAATATTTTCAAAGCTCCCTTTTCTAGGTTCTTGACAAATGTAGGTATTTAAATTTAGAGACAAGGAGCTGTTCAGAATCTGTAATCAGGAAATGTTAGCTGTTAGGGCCTTAAGATAAATGTCTTGCTCCACGATAACAATAATGAGTTTTGCTAATTGAGGGATTTGGGGAGTGGAAGTCCATACATCTGAAAGTTGAGAAATTCTGTTCTAAGTGCTTCGCTTCTAACTGAGTTGTCCTGTTTCATCTGGATTAAAAGAAACTTTCAGTTCACATCTTGTCTCTTCTGCAGTGAAACCTCTGACATGGTTCTTCACAAGGCTTCTGCTGATTGATTTGTGGGCCAGAAGGGAGAGCTTTTGTGAAAATACAGATCAATAACCTTTCTCTAGTTTGTCTGTTGGCCTATTGATCCGATTCCAAACACAGAGCATTGAGCCAAATTTACGAGGCCTGACTGCCCATTTGCAACCCCATGATGGTCATCTATTTCAAAACAAAGCTTTTCAAGGGGGAGGCAATTTCTTCTGCTTTTCCTTGCAGCCTTGGAGCAAAAACAGAGATGCAGTCTGGAATGAGAAATGTAGCCCCGTTCGAATATAAGCAAGGTTGCAAGTCCACAGTGGTTTTAAAATCAGGACCTGGAGAACCTCACTCTGTGCAGCAACACAAAACTCTCAAATAATATAGGGACGGTAGAGAGGCTAAACCAGGGGTAGGCAACCTTGGCTCTTTTATGATTCGTGGACTTCAACTCCCAGAATTCCTGAGCCAACCATGCTGAGGGGAAAGGGAGAGGTTTCCAAGTTGAGCCATGCTGGCTCAGGAATTCTGGGAGTTGAAGTCCAGGTGTCATAAAAGAGCCAAGGTTGTCTACCCTTGGGCTAAACAAAGTGATGGAGCAAACAGGGTAAACTAAGGCATGGGATGGGATTCAGAGAACCAAGTATTTATGGGCTATTTGCTTGGACACAAGCAAATTCACGGAGAGTAAAGCAATAAACATAATGTCTAGTGCAGGAGTAGGCAACCTTGGCTCTTTTATGACTTGTAGACTTCAACTCCCAGAATTCCTCAGCCAGCCATGCTGAGGGGAAAGGGAGAGGTTTCCAAGCTGAGCCATGCTGGCTCAGGAATTCTGGGAGTTGAAGTCCACGAGTCATAAAAGAGCCAAGGTTGCCTACCTCTGGTCTAGTGGTTAAGGCGCCAGGCTAGCAAGCAAGAGACTATGAGTTCAAGTCCTACCATACCCGTGAAAGCCAGATGAAAGCCCAACCCACCTCATAGGATTATTGTTGTGGGGAAAATAGGAAGAGGAAGCTGTATAGGATATGTTCACTCCCTTGAGTTATTTGTAAAAATAATAAGGGAAGGATATAAATAAACAAATAAAAACACACTCTCTTCAAGTGTAGAGACAACATGTTCCTAAACTCCAGTGGGTCAGTACCACAAGTTACGTCTACTTCTGTCCCGTTTGTGAAACTTCTAAACATCTTTAAAAAATCTACTCTGCTCCAAACTGAATTTCTTCCAGGTGTTTGGGGGTATAATTCTCATTAACTTTCATTGCTAGCCATGCTGCCTATAGTTGTTGGTGTAATGGCCCCCCAAATTTAAAAGAAATGGGATGCTTACCTGCAGGGTCACCTATAAAAGGTTTGCCACTTCTCCTTTGCACCAGAAAGCAGTCAAAGACAACAGCATGGACATTTTGGGTGCAAGAAGTTCCCCGCAAGAAAAACCTCAACCAGGAAAGCCTGCTAAGTGACCTTGGGCTTGTCAGTCTCTTTTGGCTCAAGAGCCAAGATAGTGGAGTGAGGAAGATGCTGCCCCTCTACAAAACAGCTGCTTACCGTAGTTCTCAAATAATCCAGTTTTTTGACTGGAGAAATTCCAGACAGGGAAAATGGCAAGAGGGAGGAGGTGATCTACAATTCACCCCCCTGGGTGGGGGAATCCTGGGAGTGGAAATCCACCCATCTTAAAGCTGCCAATGTTGAAAAATACTGATAGAGGTGCTGGTTGGATTATTAGCTGATCTGGCAATCAAGGCATTTTTGCTTTAATCCCTTTACCCTATTACAGTGGTGGCGAACCTATGGCACGGGTGCCAGAGACGGCACTCGGAGCCCTCTCCGTAGGCACACGTGCCGTTGCCCCAGCCTTGCCTCCCCCCGTGACCCCCTCCTCTCCAGCAGCCCCCCTGAAGGAGAGTCACCCCCGAGCGTGGCCCACACGGAGCAGCGCAGCCAAGGACATGGCAGCCAGGCAGCGTAGACAAGACTCTGCCCTCACACCCTATTGTGCACAGTTGATGTTGCAGGGCGCGGACAGAGGGTGTGGCCACCACAGTGCTGCTGGGCTGCCTGGGCAATCTGCAGCGGGCCCTGGAGGCAGTGAGTGGTCCTGTGGGCAGGCGGGGCGGGGGATGGGGGCAGAGCGGGGATGGGGCAGGGGAGTGGAGAGGGGGCAGCTTTTGGGCACTCGGTCTCTAAAAGGTTCACCATCACTGCCCTATTACCTCCCAGCTCAACTATACGCTGTCCTATTCTCGGCTTGTTTTTACAGTGTGCCAAGTGGGGGGCGGAGGACCGGTCAAAACATCCGGGTTCAAAATACACCAGGGGGTTTCTGCAGAACAGAGAAAGCTATTCAAAGGCTGACTCACCACATTCAAGTCAAAGCTCTTCTCCACCCAATCTTTGGCTTCCTGGAATTCCTCCTGCAGCTCCATGACGTACAAGGTATCCAAAGCGTCCACCACGGTGGCACCCCGGAGGCCTCCTGCAGGGACAGAAACCCACACAGTTTGAATGGAAGTTTAGTTGACTTTCCACTGAGGGATGCACAGGGTAAGTGTGTGGCTGCAAAAATGGCTATTGGAATTTCATTCCGAGACTGCTTTCTTCGATTTTACAAATTTTATTAATTTTTCAAATACAAATAATACAAATATGGTGCGTTTCATTAGAAAAACAAACACATAAAAAAGCCTACTCAGTAAGTATTCAGAAATAACCAGCGGTCCCCCCCCCCTGCATCCACACTCCCTCAACCTTCCTACCTACTTCCCTCTTCCTTCCTCCCCCTCTTAACCACGACCTCTCCTCTTTTCTCCTTTCCAACTATCCTACACATCTCATCACCTTCTTTTCCACCACCTCGGATGCAGTTTAGGGGTACTAGCCGATCATCTCCTCTTCTTAAAGACAAACATTTACATTATATTTATAAATACACCAAATTTTATATAATTCTACCCCTTCATCCCCTCCCCCCCTCCCCCCCGGACTTCCCAGAACTGAGTACAGGGATAAATACATAACATCCCAAGTCTAAAATAAGCTATCCAACGAGACTGCTTTCTTGATGCATACAGAGCACAGGGGGTCCTTGCCTTACAGCCATTTGTTTAGTGGCTGTTTGAAGTTACAACAGCACTAAAAATGCAACTGAGGACTTGGTCCTCGCCCTTATGACCATCGAAGCAGCACTGCAGTCACGTGGTCGAAATTCAGGTGCTTGGCGACTGGCCATGTATTTGTGACGGCTGCAGTGTCCTGGGGCCATGTGATCGCATTTGCATTTGAGGATATCTGTATTATAGGAGTTTGTACACTTTCCAAAATGATAGCAAAGCAGATCAATCCGCTAGCATACTCAGATGGCAACGGTGCGTGGAATCAGGTGCATGGGGAGATACAAGAAAAGAACCTTGTGTGAAAGACGGAAATGATCAGCTAAATGGGTGTCCTGAATCCACAGCTTAGAAAAAAATGCTGGAGGTTACCCAGAAAATTGGGGTCTGAAAACCTTTTTTAGGGGACACATATGTCTTCTTTGTAATTTCCACAATAATCCATCCTGTTGGGTCAACTTTGATGACTTGTTAAAACATGGAGTTTTAGCCAATTCAGAAATGAAATAATGGGCCAATTCTTCAACACAAAGCATCACTATCAATCTACCAGTTGCCTCCCTGGAGAAAATAGACTTTAGAACAGGGGTCTTCAAACTTGGCCCTTTTATGACTTGTGGACTTCAAATCCCAGAATTCCTCAGCCAGGCGTGCCTGGCTGAGGAATTCTGGGAGTTGAAGTCCACAAGTCATAAAAGGGCCAAGTTTGAAGACCCCTGCTTTAGAAGATACCAAGTACTGATCATTCCTCTCACAGATGGAAGCCACTGCTGCTCTGCTCTCATTTCCTAACATAGAGTTGGCCTTTCTCATTGTTCCTAGAGGTGCCCATCCTTGACAACTTTAAGACCTGTGGACTTCAGCTCCCAGAATTCCCCAGCCTGGCTGGGGAATTGAAGTCCACCCATCTTAGAGATGCCAAGGTTGGAACCCCTGGTCTACATGAATCATACCCAACATCACCCAGATATAAGGGATTGCAATGCCTATTATCCTGAGCCACATGAACTATGATCCCTTCTCTATATACAGGAAAGAGACTCTGCACCGCAGGTTGTTTGTGCACTAGAACCTCCGAACAGTATATTAAGATCCTACAATATTGAATTTTTACATCTCCAAATGATTCAGGGGAAGTGACACTGTCAGGAGACTTGAAATGTAAAAACCTCTTAATTGGTTCAAAACCCTCCTGATAACTTGCAGCACTCCTCAGCAGAAAAATGGGAAGCCAATGTGTGAACACCTGATAAAAGCGAGCCATGGGCTTCTGAGCAATCTCAACAGCAAAGGACTGGTGGGTTAAAAAAAAAAGTGAATCAGGCAGTTTTCTCCGATTCAGATCAGAGAAATGAAGACATTCTGAAGTGAAGAGTTGGTTATTAGAAGCAGGAGAATTCAAGGGATTCCTGTTTAGGAGATACCCCCTATTCAAGTAGGAACTGGATGAGAATGGGAGAGGGAGACAGGGAGGGAGAGGGAGAGAGAGACAGAGAGAGGAAGATGGAGAGAGGGAGGGAGACGGGGAGAGACAGAGAGACAGAGAGAGGAAGACAGAATGAAACGGAGAGGCAGAGAGAGAGACAGAAGGAGAGAGAGGGAGGGAAAGACAGAGAGGGAGAGGAAGGGAGAGACAGAGAGAGGGAGAGGGAGAGAGACAGGGAGAGAGGGAGAGGGAGAGAGAGAGAGAGAGAGAGAGAGAGAGAGAGAGAGAGAGAGAGAGAGAGAGAGAGAGAGAGAGAGAGAGAGAGAGAGAGAGGGAGAGAGAGGGAGAGAGGGAGAGGGGGAGAGAGAGACAGAGAGAGGGAGAGAGACAGAGAGAGGAAGACAGAACGAAACGGAGAGGCAGAGAGAGAGATAGAAGGAGGGAGGGAAAGACAGAGAGAGGGAGAGGAAGGAAGAGATGGAGGGAGGGAGGGAGAGAGAGAGACAAAGGGAGGCAGAGGGAGAGGGAGAGATTTTCCAGGAGTTTTAAAATGTCATTTAATTTATTGCAAAGCCCACTTCGGGCAGTGGTTCACAGGATGTGCAAAACTGAAGAAAGGATTCCCATTATCCCAAATCACTGGGACTGAGGAGCAAAATGCCACAAATTAAGATGCAGGTTGTAAGAAATACTGAATACAAAGTTGAGAGAGAGGAGAAGGTGACACAGCAAACACTACCCCTAGTTAGATAATGTGGGGCGCTAACTTGGCAGGAATTTCATTGGAAAACACGGGCTGCGTAACAGGTTTGTGCTGGTATCATGCTTCAGAGATTGTGCCTTACAGATCAGGCCCTGCCAAATTGTTCCTTTGTCTAAAATCTGCTCGTTTGTCAACGAGGGCCCCTTGAAAGAGGGTATTAGGCTCCCCTCCTCTAGGGCAGGGTATCTCAACCTCAGCCACTTTTAAGATGTGTGGACTTCCAACTTCCAGAATCCTTCAGCCGTCAATGGCCAGCTGGGGAATTCTGGGAGCTGACATCCATGCAACTTAAAACTGCCAAGGTTGCGCGCTAGTTACATTAGGAAGAAAACCAATTGTAACACCATTCATGCATTTACAGCATTTACTTTTCATTTCAGAGGCATTAAGCTACATTATCATCCAGACGAAAAAGTCTGAAAGCAGCGAAGATGCATGTAAAGTGTGTAGAAATCAGGGAGAAATTGCATGCCTTTCCCGGAATTCATTAAATTGCCATTGCAAATTACACATCCTACCCAGTGGTGAGATTCAGCCAGTTTGCACCGCTTCGGCAGAACCGGTAGCTAATTTTGTGTTGCCAGGTCCAGAATGGACTTCCGGAAGCGGCATCTACACAGAGAACCGGTTGTTCACATATTTGAATCCCACTACTGGTCCTACCCTCAAAACAAGTTCACGGGGAAGGAATTTTTTGAATTGGAGGATCTAAACTGTTCCAATTTATTACCCTTCATCTTTCATATAATCTGTAGCCTGCACAGTCACTGAGCTAGAAAAAGACCAGGTAACAGAAAACACAGCTATGGTTATTTGATTTATATCCCATCTTTCTGGGCAGGTGAGCGCTCAAGGCAACTAAAAAAACAACCCCAAAATGTATTATTTTACAAAAATAGGTGAAAAATAATAGTAAAATAAATATAAATACTAAAATCTTTCTCTGCAGAGGCCTACCAAGATCAGGGGACCGTTCTCTCGGCAAGAAATGTGACATTTAAGATAAACTGGCTGTCCTAACAATTTCCCAGTTCCCAGTAATTCAGCTTTTTCCTATGAAGAGTGATTCATAGTTTTCTAGCAATGCTAAAAGCACATCAGCATTCAGGAACATGTTAGGTGTCCAAAACAGCTGGTGTCAACAAACGATATGGTTGGCTTGGGTAAAGTTCTCTCTCGGATCTGGCGGTGATAACTGTCTTTCTTAGCAGGAGGAAACATGTTTATGAAGGCTAAGCATGATTCATTGCACCTCTTGTGATCTGCCCCAGCTATGAGATATATAGTCCACTAAACAGTACGCTATCCATCAACCTTGTTTCCATGCTTTAATGGAATGTCAGACAAAAGAGGGTTTCCTGGAACACCTTTGAGAGCGGATTGCGTGTTAGAGAATCAGGTTTGGCTTGATGGGTCGAGATGCTGATGAGGCATCTGGTTTCAAGGCACCTTGAAGGCCTTATATTATGAGGACCATTTATTTTACCCAGTGCTAGAGCCCACTAATGACATTCTAGAATTGAAATGGGAAATAGATGTGTACTCTGCACATTGATTGAAGCTATATCTTTGCAGAAGGTCTGGATTGTTCAACATGGAATAGGACAATTCTGCAAAAACTGCATTATTGTGGTTTTTCTAGGGAGGCATTTGTAATGATGGACTATGACTGAGCCTTCATTGCACATAGGCCACCTGTCCAAGATCTGGAAGCCCAACTGGATCAATATGCCTTACAGTAATGGTGTGAGGGAAAGACCTTGAGAGACCGGGGACAAAGAAGTTGCTAACAGAATGGCCAGATAAAAGGCAGCATAGCCCCCAGAGAGAGAGAAAGTGGGGCGAGAAGCTCAGAAGATACCTTCCCTAGTTGGAGAGGGGTGGAATTGTACCCTCAGACTTGCAAGATTCTGTTAATGTAGCTTTACAATGGAGTAGAACAGTGATGGCGAACCTTTTAGAGAACAAGTGCCCCAAAACCGCCCTGCCCCCATCGCTCTGCCCCGCCCACTCCACCCCGCCCCACCTGCCGGGCCATCCACCGCCTCCATGGCCCGCCGCAGATCGCTCAAGCGGCCCTGCAGCGCCATGGTGGACACACTCTCCATCCACGTCCCACAGCATCATCTGCACAAGACGGGGCGTGAGGGCAGAGTCTTTGCCCAGCTGCCATGTGC